ATCTATAAGCCATCGGCTGATTTGAACATCACGCGCTTGGTTGTTACAGAGATCGTCGCAAAAGGCCGTCACTTGTCTACGCGTGCGCGCGCGCACTGAAAAAAAGTTGCGTATTCGATAAAAAAAAGGGGGGGGGGGGGGCTCAAGCTCACCAGGCTTATGTGACGTTTTTTTTTTTTTGTTTGCTCCTCCCACCTCTCCCTGCTTAGCTTCCAGCGCTTTCGTCGGGACGAGAGAATGCTATTGCAGCGTGTGACAAATCTTTGTAACTCCGCTGGTACTAGAGGGATTTTTTAATTTTTTGCGGCGTTGCATTTGTGAGGCAATATGCGTTTCCAGTGAATTAATCCCTAGGTTACTCAAAAAAGTATCTCAGGGCCCACTTAACTAAGAGGGAAAAGTCTGGGGCTCTAGTTGATGCTATCTGGTGTAAAACAAACTTGCTCGCGCTTACGCAGTAACTATTTTGCAAGATGTCCATTAGCGTGGTGGATGCGCCGGCGAGGCGAGATATTGAAGTGAGGTGAGGAAGTAGGCGGTGCTGCTGAGAATGCTGTGGAGTCCGCGGACAAATAAATAAGAAAAAGTTACAGCTTTGCCGCAAAGGCGAAGCAATGAGCGCGATAGCAACAAGTTGGAAGGTCACGCGCAGAAAGTCAAGCAGATCGAAACGTGCCCCGTTGGCGTCCACCCAGCTCCCTATCCGCGGGGCAAAATACGCGTGGGAGCCCCGCCGCGGTGGTCTAGTGGCTAAGGTACTCGGCTGCTGACCCGCAGGTCGCGGGTTCGATTCCCGGCTGCGGCGGCTGCATTTCCGATGGAGGCGGAAATGTTGTAGGCCCGTGTGCTCAGATTTGGGCGCACGTTAAAGAACCCCAGGTGGTCGAAATTTCCGGAGCCCTCCACTACGGCGTCTCTCATAATCATATGGTGGTTTTGGGACGTTAAACCCCACAAATCAATCAAATACGCGTGGGAGAGCGCGCGCCGCCGCCGCGTCGGGACGATGTGGCGACGTGCGATCATCGCGCCATCTTGCTGGTCATGCTGAAAACACGATAGTTCCCACCGAGATGCCCGTCACCAGCAGTAAGTGTTAGTTATAAATACTTTGCCGTTTGAACGTTGTAGGAGGTGCTCCTTCTTAGCTCAGTGTTTAACACCTTGCACTCGAACTTCAGATGTCCCACGATCGATTCCGCGGGCCGGAGTCTGTTTTTTTAAATTTTTCTATCTTGCGTTTTCATACAGATACATATACGGTGAGTGACGGCGACGCCAATGTCGACGCCGGTGGCAAACAATCCGCCTTCTTCACCTCATCGTGTTGGCGAAGCGTAGGAAACACGGCTTTTTCGGGCTAAGTGTTGCATTGGCAGTGCAGTGTCAGAAACACTAGGGTATTTATAATTACGTATGTATGCATTATCTAATAAATAAACACACTACCTAATATTTACCTACTGATGTTTCTCCTCAGATGTGTGTAATATTTGCTTTTTGATCGGCAATGTTCAAAAGTATGAATGCAGCCACCATATGAAGAATGCTGAATCGTTTCGTGTGACAGAAAGACAGACCAAAATTTCTGCGTGAAAGTATCCCAAGAAAGACTAACGTCTTTAAAAAAAACGGATTATGTAACATACACGTTTAGACCTGTACAAGCGGTCTTTGCGTGTGTTGTACCGGCCCTTGAACCACACTTTCAAGGTCGCATGTGAGCGCGTGTCGAAGGCACGCGTTTATCGAAATGTTCTTGGGCGAAAAGAAGAAAATGTAGATATCAGAAAATTCAGATAACGTCGGTATATCCATTAGAACGTGGTCCACAGAAAAGACCATGTAAAAGGGTTCACACTGCTATCTCGTTTTGACGTCCTTTCGGCGATTAAAGGGTTACGTCACCATTTTTTCGGAAGGTTGTCGTCGGAAGCCGCATCATCTACAGTCTTGAAGCAGCTGCTTCAACCAACCAACGCGCTTTTTTCTTACGCGCCCCGCCGACGTGCGAAACGGTCTAAATTTATGCCCAGCCGATGTTTATCTCGCGCCGCTTCCAACGAAACAATAAAAAAAGAAAATAAAGATGTGAGATTACGAGCGTCGCGTACGTACTTTCCCTTTCTTTAGCTCGATGCGGCGGAACAGACTAGCGCGCGCGTTATCTTCAGATTACATCGTCCGCTACACACGTGCAGTGCAGATTGCAGGCGCGATTACCAAATCGCGCGGGGCGATCTTTTTGCCAGTTTTATCTTTTTTTTTCTTTTACTTCGTGTGCGTTCCTTCGTTTATTCCACAGGGGCCCCCAGGGTCGACGTGCGCTCCGTAATGTCCCTAAAAATACTTTAGTGCCAACCGCACCCCTTCGCCTCTGCCTCCTCTCTCAGCAGCGCCCCTACAGCGTCCAGCAAGAAACTACAGACACCGACACATTCTCTCCCGGCTCGCATGGGAGGGTAAGCTGGTGCAGCCACTGAGGTATAGGGTGGCTAGAATCCCTAACTAGAGTGTACTAGAAGATCCTTCTAGCACACTCTACCCCACTGATCTCCACTAGGGTTGCACTAGTGGAGATCAGTGCTCTACCCTAACTGAGGTGCATCGCCTCCTCCTCGCCAGTGTCGTCGTGGAAGCAAAAGAAGAAAAAAAAAAGCATGGTGCCAAGGACACACAAGATGGCGCTCGCACTACCAAGGCTGCCAAGCGCGGGGGAGAGGAGGAGCCTGCACGGCGACGCGATTGGCGCTACTTTAGTTATTTCTAGGGACTTTAGGGCCGTTGATACTTGTCCTCCAATGTAAAGTGGCCTCGATACGGTAGCGTCCCCGCTGAATCGTCAGTATGTGGGAGCACCTGATGCCCTTAGGCACCCTATCTGAAATGCTGGCCGTGAAAAGGCGGTCTTCCGCGCCGGGGGAGGCGCTGTGTGCGCCGCGTTTTTCGGCCGATAAGCGGCCCCTCTAATGGCGAGCGTTTGCCGAATCTGGAAATTGCAGTGTTCGCTTGCTTTTATTTGATTATTTTCGTTGCGCACTTCTTGTGTTTTAGAGGTTGCATTGCGCGGAATGCGGGAATGGTATCAGATTGAAGCTAGTTCATTAATTGCTGAGATATGTGGGTTGATCTGGAACGCACGCAGATTTGCAGATAAATGTTACGCATATAAGGTCACTTGGAATAAGTGGCTGGATGATACCATCTTATGCAATATCTCATCTATAAATGCACTGCAGTGATGAAAACAGCGTTGAGACTTCTGCGGGTTGTTCTGTACATATCGGTTTGTTTTCGCTGCACGGGGCCTCCTAAGGCTTTTCTTCGGGCACTAATTAAATATGTCTACTGAAAACTTATTTTCACCGTTTTCATTGGCGCTCATGTGAAGCGTGCTGAGCACAATGAATTGGGGATGGCTTCGTCAAGTTCATGGGATATTGACTCCATGAGAGAACTCTCTACAAAAATTTTGAATGTGAAACTTCAGTTATGTTATTTCAAGTATAATTAAAGAACACTTAGCCTGAAACATCATTCGATGGGTGTTTATTCGGAATTTTTATTCTAGTGGATTCGGAAAAGGTGCGTCTTTTATGAGTGGCAGATGACTGTGCCGACAGGTGGGTTAACTTGAAAGTTTGATGCATGAATAGTGTACTCGTTAGTAAAACATAGTGGTTCATGTGACTCAGCTGCACCTGACATTATCGAATAATCAGTACATTTTGTATTATCTCATTCACACCAAACTCTTCGGGTCGCGAGTAGTTTTTATTGGCGCTGATCTCTATCAAAAGTGCCCAGTGTAACACAGGTGCAGTAATAACCGTTTTCCATGAGGTTGTGTGCCTAGACAAATGTACATAAATATGTCGGTGGCTGTGGCAGGAGGCAGGTTTTCAGCTGCAGTCGAAAACTTACCTGTTGGGCAAATCGTCTCCTCGCCACTGCAGTTTCTGCTTGTACCTATTCCATGCAACGTCGCCCGGCATTACTCAATTTACCTTCGTGGACAGGTCGTTTGGCACACGCAGTTGTGTTGACAAACAGCAAAACGGTCTGTAGATGCACTTGTCGCGTTTGCAGTCTGCCCCATATGTATTCATATTGAAATGACCATTTGCAGAAATCTGCAAGGCTGTTTTCCAACCAGAAGGAAAAGAACAAAAAAAAAAAATAGCTCCTGCCCAGACTGATTTTCTTGCTCACTGTGCTTTTACCACCCCTATTCCTGTCAAGGCATGCGAGTGCAACAAAACAACTTTTTCCCCCAACAATAACTGTGCGGTTGTCAAACTTTGAACGATCCCTCAAATCCCATGGCGGCTGAGACACCTGTCGTTCGTAAAGAAGGGACTTGGGGAAGGCAAAAATGCAATGAGTGAGACAAGCAGTCTGGGGACGAGACCTTTCAGTTGGAAAACAACCATGCAGAAAAGTCAGCTTGGAAATTTGCGCAAATAGTCAATTGTTGGACATCGTCAGCCTTACTGCACTCCCTGCAGGGAAAAGGCTTGCCCCGTGTTTTGCCATTTAACTTGGTCCCATGCTTTTTGTGGCCATGTCATCTCCGCAAGCTACGTAATCTGATCGGCCCACCAAACGTTTCTCCTCGAGTTGCCTTCTATTGCACATAAAAAGGTCTTTCTAGTACAGATGTGACTTGCTTTCATAAGGTCTAGCTGTACTTAATAAGCTCGTCAAGTAACCTGTGCCTGTTGCCATATTTACTCGATTGTAACACGACCACGGTTGTAACATGAGGGCTGATCTTCCAGGAAATAAAAACAAACAAGAAAATTAAGATTTCAAAACTGTGTGCATCATTGCCCTTCTAAGGCAACTTGAATTTTCAGTATTCAATCGGAATGCACCTGTCAACATCGGGTCACAAAACTTTGGGGGGTGAGGGGAGACTAGTGTTGCATTCAAATAAATATAGTACTTATCCCGCTGCAGCTCGGTGTTCATTAACTTTCCACGTTCCGCCTCGCCAGCTCCATGCGGAGTACAACCGCAACTACGACACCTACCTGTCCCACCGCATCTGCCAGTCGTTCGAGCTGAGCCAGTACGTGAAGCACACCAGTGCCACCTGTGACTTGGCCATCGTGGCGGGTGACTTCAACACCGAGCCCCTGGACCCACCCTACAACATCATCATCTACAACTCGGACCTGGTGGATGCGTTCGTGGATCAGGAGAAATACAATAGGGTAGGTTACGTCTACGATGAAAGCTGTTATGAGATCGCAACGGTAGATTTTGGTGGCGTAGTTGTCCGCCGTTGTTGCCACCCGTATGTGTAACGACAATCACGCACACCGAGAAAAAAAAAAGTATCTAGGATGAAGTGGTATTCAAACCAAGGCCCTCTGCGGGGCAGTCAAATATTCTACTGCAGAGCCACACTGGTTGTCGGTGCTCAGAAGTTTGTTGTAAAAAGATTCTGTACAGGCTTCGTATCAGGCAATGAATCGTGTTGGCATATGTAGTATAGCAAGGTAGAAGAGTAAGATAGAAACTGAGAATCGCATGAGTGGGTGGTCTAAAGCTTCCCACTTATCACAAAGGGCTCAGCTGTAATTATATGTCTTCTCCAGCAACAGCACCACCAAAGTGCGCATAAGGCCTTACAGGTATGTGGCCTCCCGCTTTTCTGCACAATGATAAATAATAGCATAGACTAGAGAGTATTTCTTTTGTTTTCCAAAATTAAGTTTGTCTATGGTGTAATGCGTACCTTGAAAATGTGATTGTGGTAGTTGTCCCTGGAGAGTTCACAGTGCACTCTAGCTAGAAAGGCCATTCATCCTGCTTTGGCTGTGAATGGGCTGCTTGTGACCCGCCACGGCAGTCTAACGGCTAAGGCACTCTGCTGCAGACTACGCAGGTGGCGGGTTCGAATCCCGGCCGTGGCGGCCGCATTTTTTATGAAGGCGAGAATGATTGAGGCCCGCGTGCTTAGATTTGGGTGCACCCCAGGTGGTCGAAATTTCCGTAGCTCTCCATTACAGCATCTCTCGTAGTCATATGGTGGTTTTGAGACGTTAAACCCCAACAATTGTCATTGTTAATAATTATTAGGCTGAGCTGAGCTGGCTAGTACAGTTTCATGATAAAGAAACTTCAGATGCAAGAACAGAGTTTGGAACAACACAAGCGACGACCAGTCAGACACAGAGTACACACTGCGGTGGTAAAGCAAGAAGGTGCAAAAACTTACCGGCACATGCGCAGGCGTGCACCTGTTATTCTGACGCACATGCGAGTCCACGCGAGAAGTTACTGCCCAGGCACTTCATGTCTTTATGCAAGTTAATTGACGTGTGTTAGTCACACCCACATCGACCTGCGTGGGTACGAATTCTGTTCTTTGCAGAAGTATGAAAAAAAATCAAAGTGATTTTTTTAGTGTTGGTGAAGTGTGAAGTTTTTAGAATTCTGTTGACTGCCAAGAAAACCTGCCTCTCGGTCGTGGGGAAGGTTGATTCTGTATATATTTTTAGTCGCTAATGGCCTGAAACCAAAACTTTTTTTTGATCATGTTGGACAGGCTGCCAGCTTACTCAAGAAAAGGAAGATGGTCTGGCTAGGGTGCAAGGTAAAAAGATAAAGACGTCACCTTAACAGAGTTAATTCTTCAAAAGTTATTCTTCGATGGTTATTTTTGAAGCCACACAGTAGCACCTTGTAAAGACTAAAGATTTTGCAGTGAATGATATCACTGTGCATACCGATGTGCGCATGGTGCCGCAGTGTTGAAGCCTAATAATGTCATGGTTTTCAATAAACAGTTCTCAGAGGTGTTATCTTGAAGCCAACTTCAATGCTGCACATTCGGATGCATACATAAAATACACAAATACTTTTATAAGGCGATCGCTGGATAAACTTTTGCCTTATGTAGATAATAGCTTGAATATTCACTGCCTGAACTTTGATTGTTCTTTTCTTTATGTGAGGGAGACGCTCTAACCTTGGTGTTCCCTTCGAAATTTGTTGTACCGACAAACTGTTTCTACTTGTAGGTTGCTGATGTGATGGCTGTGATTTTTTCTGGTACGACGTATAGTTAACATGTTTGGGTATTTGCTTGCCTGCACTACGAAGTGTTAGCCTGGGACCTTTATTGTCCTACATATCCTTAATTGTGTTTTCTCATTCCTGTCTCAAATTAGAGGCAGTGCCTCAGTGAATTGCCTTTATCAACGCTGTCGGCCTTTTCAGTGGAAGTGTTAATTACCCGGAGGCTCATAGGTAGGTGCTAATTGGTTCACGGACATTATCGCAGTGGATCTCGAAAGAATGAGGCAGGCAACACACAGTCTCATTCGGCCGCTGTGTCTTGTGCGTTCACTGTGGCGTTCCTTGCACTGTCCTTGCACAATGTTTGCTGTCATTATTTTTTCGCATGTTCAAAAGGAGCATGCAGCTATATTGTTTCAACTTTTTACTGCCGAGTGTCATCAATTTGCGACATATCGAAAAACTTCAAGCCAGCGTGTCATGAAATGCATGCTGCCTTTAGTGCCGGCTGTCAAGTACTAGTCACAGGGAATGTAGCTTTCAGCATGAAAAATCTAGCGCTGTTTTGTCCAAGGTATTTTGTGCTAGAACCAATTGCTTTGTAGATGGCGGAGAGTGTGAAGTGCGTGCAACAGCCCTCCCTTTTAGTCTTTGTCGTTTGGGTGACGCAAGTTCTAGCTTCAATAATTTTGTTTGTTGTCTGTGCACCCAAGAGGTGGCACACATGTCTAGAATTCTGAAGTATGTTTTTTGTTGCAAGGATCTCGCTTCTGTAGCATATGGAGACTTCGTGACATACATAAAAGTATGCATTACAGTTGAAATTTTAGATAATTTAACTGTGGAATCATTTGAAGGTTGCTATTTGATGCTGGAAAATGAAAACGATTTTGAATTTGTTTGGAAGTTTGATAATTCAGGCATTAAAAGGTTAACACTGCCCGTTTACATGCACCTCCTTTGCAGGAGAGCCTGTGCGTGGGTGCGACGTGTGGCCACCCCGACAACAAGTACACCACGTCGTACGAGAAGAGCAACTGCCCGACGGGAAAACGGATAGATTACGTCATGTACAAGGTCGGCCGAGGTGTGTGAAGTCTCCCCCTGATCTTGTACAGCTTGTTCTCGACTCGTGAATGACGGTGTTTCAGTCGTTGCATTGCTGTAGTGCCACTAGCGCTGTTACCGTTACAACGACACTTCTTAAAGGTGTAATGGGCACTCGGTGTTGACTTCATCTGGTGAACCAGGCCGGCACCTAGAAAACTGGGTGACGCGAAGAGAAAATCCTGTGCACTTCAAGCAAAAACCAAGCTTGTCGTAGACAAGTCATCAGTAAGTGATTCTGTGCACGCCGCAAAAATATGGTCATTTTTGCGCGACGAAAGAACGATGGAAGAGGTCAATGGAGCACTTCCTTTCACACTTTCCCTCTTTCTTTCGTCACAAAAACAGCCATATCTTGGTGACCTGTATAAACACATGAACAGACTAGATCAGCAAAGAGTATTTCTAGATCACTGAGTGCTTTTGCCTTATCTGGTTGGTAGAAACCAAAACAATTTTGTGCATTGGTACTAGTGCATTTTGTAATGCCTAACAGCATCAAAACAAAAATCTTCATTATCTATTGTACCAATGACAAATAATTGGTAAAATTTAATCCTTGGCATACGAGATAAGGCTAAGCAAAGGTTAGTGTTAGCATTTATTTCTTGTGATCACTCAGTCAGTAAAAAGAGCCTATTCGAATTGAGACAGTGAGATGTTTTTCACCGAGAAATTATCGCGCCTTGCATAAAGAGAAATTTAACATAGGTTGAACAATTCATTCCTAGAAGTCTTTCTGCACCAAGCATGCTTATGTGCACGCAAGGAATTCAAAATTCGTGACATCACACAGAATTGCCATTTTTCAAGTACAAAATTTACAAAAATTTTAGTTTTTGCATCGCCCATTTATTCTCTTGCAGTCATCTTTCTAGTCAAGTGTATGAGCAAGCGCAAGACTTGTAAAAATAACTTGCTGGCCCAAACTGATTTTAGACTTTCAATCTTTTATGTGCACTGCCCCTTTAAATCTTCTTTCTGGTGTACCTCCTGTTGGCCTTTGCAGGCGTCACTGTCACGACTAAGTCTTGCACTACGCTGAAGTTGAAGACTCCCTCTGGGCTCCCCTTCTCGGATCATGAACCCGTCGAGGTGGTGATGCGGGTCAATAAGTCCAGCGAATGTGAGTTGCAGTGCTTTGTAGAGCGATATATGATGTGTGGTAGGGCTGCAATTTCTGCTATCATTGTTCATCGCCTGTTGGTTGATTTCCTGGGCCTCAAGTCTACTATTTTTATCATTATTATTTCTTCAGAGGCCTCTCCTTATTAATTTGCCCTTAATAATTTGATGGAAAAGGAGGAATGTTTGAAGCCTAAAACAATTAAGGAGGTGTGTTTGGAGAAAAAAAACTGAAGTTGTGCTTCAAGAAATACTATTTGGGAAAAAAATTGATACATAAAACAAAAACAAACATGGATATATTAAATCATTGGAGGTTCATGGACCAGAGTTGATTGGTGCAATTAGCACTACAGCACTGTGAGATGTTGTTCTTTCTTCTCACAACAATGTTATTTTGTTAACACAACTTTTACTACTTGTGGTTTCGTACACCAGTGCTGCTCGGGCCAGTCGGGTCTCGTGAAATAAATTGCATCCTCTTGTAGTGATGATCTTGGGTCTTTTCCATACACCCTTGTTACGCTGACCATTGTGCTTCGCAAGAGACAGACACCTCACTGACCCTTGTTGACACGACGCTCTTTGTCAACGCATGGGCCTTGCAATCGCTTAGTAATGTTGCGTTCCCATCTGCAGTGGCAGCGGCGTCGACCACAATCTCGTCGCTAGTGTCGCCACTGCTGGGCATACCCAATGCCGGCGGTGCGGCCTGTGTGGAGCGCGCCAGCCTTGCCGCGCCCGGCCTGCTGGACGCCCTGCACCGGGGCCAGGAGCAGCTGCAGCAGAGCATGGACGGGCTACACCTGGACCGCATCTTCTACATAGTGGCTGCCTGCTTCATGGCCTGCATCCTGGCTGCCACAGTGCCCCTGCACCTGCCACAGGTGGGCTCGTTTATGAAGTCATAAATCTTACAGTCAAACCTCGATATAACAAAAACAGATATAATTAATTATTGATTATAATGGAGTTAATTAATAACAGTCTTGTAATTAATACAGTGGCATGAATATACGTTTATATCAAGTTTTTGTATGTAACAAAGCTTTTCAATGCAGATGTGACTTTGTTATAATGAGGTTAGCGTATATCTTGAGTTGAAAAATTTGGTGTTGACATTAGTAAAATATACTCGCTGGGTCCCAGCTGCTTTCTCTAAAACGGCTCAAAGGCAAAAGCCATTCTTTTTTTTTTTCTCTCCATATATTTAAACATCAATATAACGAAATATTAGTTATAACTAAGTAAATTAGCAATAATCTTGCAGCAGATAGTGTTCAAAATATACCTTTATAACGAATTTTTGGATATAACCAACTAGTTTCAGTGTTAGATGCAACTTCGTTGCAATGAGGTTTGCGTGTATATTGATTCTTATGTGCCCCCCCCCCCCCCCCTCGAAAACTTTGGGCACATCATCTGCTCTTACACTGCCTCGATAGGTAGTCCACTGATCACAGAGGCAATGCAAAGCAGCAATGTCATGTGGCGGAGTCACTCGTGTTATGTAACACTTTGGGGAAGTCATCATGACATAAGAGACTTTTATGGACCAAGATTTGGTAAAGGCTTGTCCCTTGGCGGCGTTGGTGTGTGCCATAGCCATGATGATGATGATGATCCTGGACGACCACTGGCTTGTGCAGTATATGACGTCTCGATATGCCCAATGGTGCATTTCGTGTGACTGGAAACAATGAACAACTACTAGGGGAACGTGCACAGACCTCGTCTTTGCCAACTTCAGGCTGGATGCGATACCACAAACCAGTAATGATGAAGGCAAAATGAAATTCAGGGCTCAACACAACATACCATTTATGATAAATAAACTTTGTGTACACGGCTATGTCACTCATACACATGCGTGAGTGGTCAGTGTCACGCGTGATTAATGGTAACGTCGAATGATCCCACTGTTCTGTCCACTCATCATCATTAACTTCGTAGATATGCCTTGTATTGTGTTTTTTTTATGAATAAACCTTTGTTGTAAGTTTACGCTGTTACTTCTGCCCTCCTTACTTCTTGTTCTCAGTCCTTAGCGCTGTTTTGTTTTTTGCCAAATCTGAGGAGGTCGTGGCAACATTGGTCTTGGCGCGTTCTTTCTCGCCAATTTCACTCGCCAGATCTACCACTGGATCCTGGTGCTGAGCCGCACGATTGCCGCCCTGCTGCTGGGATTCTGCCTGATCATGGCGTTCTTCTGGACCGCCATGGAGAAGAGCTCCCTGATGGAGGCGCGCAAGTCCATGCGCCTCTTGTGGAAGGCGCATGCCTGCGAGGGCAACTTGAGCCTGAGCGCGACGCCTGTCTCGCGTAACTCCATTCCGTGCGAGCCTCTGCTGGAGCTACAGGGGGATCAGCGAGTCTGACAGGCACAGCCCGCCGCAGCTCCGGCCTTCACGACGCCGGGGACTGTGGCAGCGTTGCACCGGGGACCAACATATGTGTGACTGTGAAACAAACTCTCGTGCTTCGCAATCCCGCACTACTGTCAGCAATGAGCGTCGAAAAGCCGGCACAAACGTGACCTTTGATCTAAGGTTGGTTGGTGCTAATGTGTCAGAGGTTGCCGTACTGTAAATGTTTAGTATCGCAATGTAGTGTACATTCTCGTAATGGTAAGTTTCGCAATGTTTTAATGTGTCTTCTGGAAGGACAGAGACGACTAGGTGTCGTTAACTTTAAAAGAGCAAATTCTTGCATGATTCGTCTTTTCTGTGAACGAGCACACTGTACAGTGCTGCAGTGCAGCTTCACAAGTTTGCTCAAGCGATGCATCCCGCTTATTTTAGGGGACCACAAGTTCTTGATGGCTTTTAGTTTATCGACACGTAATTTGTGCTTAACACGATTGGGGAGCCTCGTGGCTTGCCAAGCTGGTGCATCTGGGCTATTTTGCCCCCGAGTGTTTGGTGACTGTACTGTAGTTGAGAGTAGAGGAGTCCAGACGTCTGATAGCATCCAGTCCAAGACGTGAGTTAATTGATCTTGCATGTCTTTATTGGCCCTGCGTTAGACCCGTGTGATCGTCACGGTTCATGTACTGCACAATTCGTCGGCTCACTTTTATCTCCAGTACGACTTTTACCGTACCAAAACTGCCCCCCCCCCCCCCCCACCCCGCATCTTGGTGCTTTTTATGCACCGTTAATTTTCTTTGCTGTTCAAGTCATTCACATTTGTGTGCAAATGGCAACGTTGTTTCTGTGGACAAAGTGCCCGTTGCGTTAAATAGGCCTTACGGTTTCTGTTTTTACGCTAAACTGGTGCCTCAACAGCGAGCGTAAAAAAAAAAGCTACCGATGAGGTCCGACTAATAGTTTCTAGAGTAGTTCTGCTCCTTACTAAAATCACCATGGAATGAGTAGTGTTTAGCGTGATGTTAGCCATTTTTGCATTAACGTTGTTCTTCATCGTTGCTTGGCAGATAATTCTGTATGGTGCGAATTTTCAATGAATGCAGAGTCTCTTTTATTGACACCCGGACTATTTTCGTTTTTCGTTTCTATCTTAACGTGCTCATTTTTACGTATCATGTCCTCAAGCTTATGGCATGAGACGACAAACATTAATGATTGATCCAAATGTGAGGCGACGCCATCTAGAAGTGAATGTAGATCTCCTGTGCAGAACAGGAAAGTTGATGTGTTTTAAAGAAGAGTCCTGCTACTGAAATTAAAGTGGTTGTATAGACGACAAGCTTTGAATGACATCATGCTCATGAGCACATCATGACAAGCACCGGACATCATGACTTGGAAGTGATGCATTGTGATGTGCATTTAACCAAGACAACAACCCCTGTGGGTATTTTCACTTAGCATATTTTATCATGTTGAATCGGAGATTTTGTCATCAGATTAAAGTCATCAGTGAATTGGTGACATTGCTAATTTGTTAGCTTTGCAAGGTACATGTGCACATGCACCTATGTCACCGTGGTAGTGGAGTAACGGTCTTATGGTAAACGAATCACAGTAACAATGATAAATGTGTATTGTGCAGTTTTAATGCATGATTGCTACAGTTTCAAAAAGCACTCAGCAGTGGTGAGTGATGAAAATGTCTTTACTTCATTTGTTAATTGAAATCTGTGCCAATTTCATGAAATCAGCCTCGTAAAGCGCACAGCACTTTTCAGTCATGTGACTGAATATCAAATGCGTTTCAACTAATGTGCAAGTTTATTGCCACCAGCTGAAGGCAAGCTGGTTGATCAAACCTAATCCATCTTTACTGAAATAGGTGTAAAAAGTGTAAAGTCATTGAGGTTATGTCAACAGATGTGTGCATGCAAGGTATGTGCAAAGATTATAAATTAAAAAGATGCATTTTACTAGAAAATGCAATAAGATGTGTTTATAAAGCATTGTTCACAAGATGTGAAGCTATTTCATGTGAACTTGTGATGTCCCAAATACCGGTGAGTTTGGTTTTAAGGAACTGACTCAGTGTTTCTGCATTCCTGATTTTCGAATGCTTTGAGGTCGTTCAGAGTGATACGATTATGCAATGTGTGGAAGTGGTGGTTGGCACGCTCTCCAATAAATAGTCTCCCATATAATTATAGATTTGACTTCAGAAGCTGCAAAGGCCTACAAGTAGTGCACCAGTATTCATGGAGTCGACTTCTTCGAGGAAATGAAATGTTTATATTGAACATTGGGCTCAAGGGATGCGCACCAACATGCAGTTCATGTTAAAACGAAACTGCTGTTTCTCGTGTGAGGTATTTTTGACTGAGACGAATGATGCCCAAGATGATCAGAATAGAGTTCCTAAGCCACAGCGCATTTCTGCCGCAGAAAGTGTGGATGCTTTTCGTCTTATAAGCGTTCCGATTGAACTATGCGTTCACTTCATAAGTCATTAAAGGGTTCACACTATTTGGTTGTCTGTCATTGCTGAATCATCGAACTGAAGTGAACGAAGTTGCAGGGGGAGTCCTTCCTGGCTTGTCCTGCTGGCAGGACAAGGAAGGCTGGCTTTTTCTCATCTCTACAAGAGATGCCCTCTTCTCGTCACTCTGCAAGACACTGTGCTACCATCATTTGTTTTACTTTTTTTTTATAGTCATTGCATTACTCTTAAGGCAGAGCTATGCTCCAGTGTTCTTGGCACACAGCACCACACCTGCTGAAGCTAGCTGCATTGCGTTGAGAGACTGAGCTGCAACAGCCCTGACAGGGCGCATTGCCTAGCAACCACTTGGCGCATGCTCAGACGGCCATAAAAAATGCTGTGTCCGAGTGGAATGCGCAGCACAGTTCAGCACGGCCTTTCTAGACCGTTATTAAACACTCTTGGCTCTTGGGGCAACTGCTTGCATGGCATCTTTGCATGTTGTGCACCTGCATGGCATCCACTACTCCATAAATCGAAATATCTGTGACTTGGGGAAAGTGTGCACGATGCATTATTTGATCTTCAGAGAAGCATGGTACCCGCTACACACCTGCAATGCATTACGTGCACTTGGTTGACGTTGTGGCTGAGCCTTTGGTTGGAAGCACTCGGCGACCCACTCGTTACGCAACTTGCAGCGCGGCGCCTCTATTACACATGTTGACGTAGTTCCTTTCCCCCTGCCTACATAAAGCCTGCATAGGGTCCTTTTACAAAGCATGTTCAAGCATCAGCATGGCTCTGTGGTAGAATACAAAGTTGCCACGCAGTGGGCCCGGGTTCAAATTCTGTTCTCCCCCAGACTTTTTTATTTAGTTCGTTCTTTTCTTATTTCACGTGACAGTGTTTATGGACACCAGCTGCGGCGCCAGACTAGGGAACTGAAAAAATCGTCGTGATCTCATAACAGTTTTCGCTGTACAAAAAATGTACCGTAACTGCAAGTGGTTGCTCTAGCGAGTTGCAATGTGGGCTTGTTGGTGATGCATTTGAAATAATTTTTGTAGCACGAGACAAAATATGGAAATAGAAGTGCTACTAGCGACAACACCTTGTTGTTGTTGCTAGTTGCGCTTTGTCCTCAGTCTATCCCTTCCCCTTTCTGTATTTCGCCTCGCGCTACAAAATTCTTTCAATTGCTTCAGCTTTGATAGTTATCCACGCAAAGGCGGCTGGGACAGCTCATTGATGTAGCATGGCACATATGGCGAAAAGTGCTAATGCACCTGAAAAAATGAAATACATGCAACGGTGCCATACGTGCCGGTTGCGTCGCGTCATCAAAGTTGGACTCCAGCTGTCGGCATTGTGACAAAATGACGCCCAACGTATGCACTGCATCTTAGTATGTCCATGTCTCAACAGGCAGCTCGGAACGTGCTCTACACAATGCACGATTTTCCCATAGCCTCTTCATTCTTTTTTCGTAACTAAAATTAATATTGGCGAGACCGAATTGCTCTCCAACATGTGCCACTGCCCTAATACCACTGCTGATCTCGTATTTTTCATTGTGCCGTCCTTGACCTTAATTAGTGCTGGCACATCTAACAAATAAGATGTGTTTGTCATCTGCACATAACGCAAGGAACAGCTGGTGACATTATAGTTCTCCTTGTTATTGGACAACATCGTCAATACATCATCAAGAGCTTTAGAGGCAGACTAAAGTGGGTTGATATTGAAGGCGGCCCGCAACACTTCTTCAGCGTGGTCAGAAAATTCTGCCGGTCGGTGCACCAAAGAACACGCGATCCAAACATAGCAGCCTGCGGCCTAGAGTTTACTATTATTTCTTCAAGTCGGCTAGAAATCGTACCCTTGTTTCCACGAGTGATGCCATACACCCAATTAGTGGCGATTAGCTTACTTGAGCACAGTGAGGTGCATAGTTATCGTGGTTGCCACTAGATGCCACCATGTACCTGTGCACTTGTGATTGCAATCAAAGTAAGCCATGCATTAAAAGGGAAAAAAAATGCGCTCAAGGCCACGACGCAACTTTCTGCCATTTGGTGTTAAGCTTCCAACATGCTCGTGGGGATGAAAAAAGAGAAAGCAATTGCACCGTGGCACAAATCTCCAACTCTGCTCGTACTTGACAGGTTCAAAAGATTCTTGCAGCAGTCGATTCGCAAAGCGATGTACTCATTTAATGAAGCCATTCGACGGTTACTTGAAAAGGTATTGCAGGGCCCTTTCAATTCAGGCACCCATATGAGTGTAGAAATACTAACATACGTTTTCAAGTTGCCATCAGCATAGTATGTACAGTGCGTAGTATAACCTTCAAGAATACTGCATCAGCTTTCTTGTCCCCTCCCCCCCCCCCCCACTGCTTTATCACCACAATACCATCAAGACTGCTATTTTGTTGTACAACTGGCTCAATGAAGCTCTCTCTGTGCGTTCATCTTGGGAGCACAGTTGTAGCTACAAATTGTGCAGAAAAATTTTAGCACCTTTAAGCTCTGGCTTGTAAACATGATAGTGATATCAGCGCATAGACACAAATACATGCACACTCGCACCGCCTTCCCAATTGCTAGCCTGCCTTCGATTATCGCTCCTCAGGGAAGACTTGAAGTGTGCCACAAAAAAGCCAGTGCAAACACCCACCGGCTCCTCTCTTTATTGCACCTACCTCAAATTTTCGTTTGCCACCAAATATGCTGCCGTCAATGCCACCAGGAATTCTGCCATACGAGCTCTTTAACACTATCACATTAAAAAAAGAGTTGGGAATGCTGACATACTGCAAAGACTTCCTATTGCTCTAGGGCAACCTCAACTACCTGTGCTACAGTCTTGTCATATATTTGTAAAAATATATGCTTTCTGTGTAACATTGTCAGTGGTCAACACAATTTGGTTTAAAATGTACGCAATATTTTGTGCAATATAAAAATCTGGCAAATGGGTCTTGAATATCTTTGCATTTTCTTTTTTGTAGAAAAATGCTTTAACGTGAAGCAAAGTTAGCACATGGCTCAGACTGATAGTCCTGCAAGCGGACGTCACAAAATGCAAAAACGTTTAATTTGATTTTGTGTGAACGAAACTGAACTGCATACACATACTTTTACAAAACCTTTATTGACCTTTCACAACGTGACAAAACTAGAAAAAAAAGCCACAAAGACAAAGCACAGCGCATCTCTGTACAAATGAAACATGGAATGCAAGGCATCGGAACACGCGACAAGGTCCCCCCATGGAAATGTTTGAGCATGAGACAAAAACTGCATGGCAAGAATCAAAACCCAGGTTTAACACACTATGGTACATGAAAAAAGTAGAACCTCTCCTCCTCAACATTGGTAGCAGTAGTGGCTAAAGTAGCATCCCCACCCATCCCCAACTGTCCCTTTTCCCAAAATCCGAGCACTCGTTACAGGTGTGAAAGTGATGAGTTCCTGCATGTCATCTCTACGCGCCAATGTGCACGTGAGAAGTTTGAAGCAGATGATTGACGATGCTTTCCGCTTTCTTTCATTGACTCTTGATCTGCTCTCCAGCATCGCCCTCCCCTGCGCTGGCGCCGGAGCTGCGTTTTCCCAAAAAGGTGTCCTCGATGCCTTTCTTCTTGTAGTACAGCTTGCGGATTTGGAGTAGCGACGCTTTCGAGATGTTCATGAATGCGTTGTGGGGCAGGCACTCCATGAGCTTCCGTTGGACCAGAGCCTGCCGATGAAATAGATGATGGCATTTGTCTTGCGTGACGTCATCTTACGTGAAGACAACAAAACGCTTGGAGAAAGTGTGTGAAAGTTCTCTGCCCTGGTGTTATCAATGCCTTGTAACACACAAATATGATTGGCTAGTGAGATCTAATATGGTAATGATGATTGTGGTTAGTTATTGAGATAGGCTAGTGAGATCATGTAAAGGCCGTAAATCAACTGCTAGATTAAAAATGTGCGCGTTTATAAATCTGAGCATCATCACCTTTTTTTTTTGCCCACTTCTACCTTTTCGTCAGGTAATGTGCCTGATCATTACTACTACTACTACTACTACTACTACTACTACTACTACTACTACTACGACTACTACTACTACTACAAAAACGACTGCATAGGGTAGAGTAAGACAGCTTCACTGTAAAACAAAAGCTCAAAAACTACGATCTTGCAGGAATCGAACCCACAACCTCCAACACGGAAGCCAAGAACTGTAACTATCATGCCATAAGTGCAGGTGCCAATGTGGTTAATAGGACACCTTCAAAAGAACACCAAAGTGATGCAATAAATCAATGCAAAGTGATGCTGAATAACCATTTTTTTCCTGACACACCACTTTTCAGAAGTTACGCTAGGTTCTGCATTTTACATCACCACTGAAAGACCCCTACTTCTTAACTTTTTTCTTTTTTGTTTCTTTTTTTCTATAAAAATATTGCTAAAGTCGCATAAAACTTTATGGATAGTTCAGGCAAACATTTGACGATGCTGTGACATTCCATTTATAATATATGTGTGCAGCCTAATAATATCAAAACATCAATATCACTCGCATCAATTTTTATCATCATCAATAAATTATTTCAAACATTTTCTTCTAAAACTCTAGTTCATAAATAATGATCACAAAAAGTATAATCTGAGCTTATGCTTTGTATATTAAATTTTGTCCATTGAAAATTCACAGGAAAGCAGATAAAGTGGACAGTAAGAGGAACTGAAAGTACACTAATTACACAAACACGATTTATGTTAAAATACATTCTACTTCAGCTACTAATTAGTGCATGTTAAACAACATGCTCAACTTACATTCTGTTAAATCAAGTCCTGTACTTTTTGCTGCCCCTCCAAATAAACAAAGTATAAACAAAAGATTTTTTTCAGTACTTGCGATTCTATACTCACTTAAAATCTAAGAAAAAAATGTCGTCTTTTCTCGCAGCCATCATCCTTCCCAAAGAGAATTTACACAAATGCTCCATCCGATTGCAGTTTCTCGTATTCGTGATCGAGTATAGTTCATTTTCGTATAGAGACCCACGTTTGCCCGGCTGCTTTTAGGTGTGAATTGAATGTCCCTGTAAATTTCATTGGGAATCCTGAAAGTGATTTTCAGCAAAATGAAATGTTTCGGCTAGTAGCAATGACCTTTTCATTTATATGTCCAGTACGTACATTAGGTGAGAAAAATGATCTTGCGCTCTAAGCAGAAACAAACAAGCGCGACTGCCTTTCAGAGGCAAAGGGTGGTTTTCTGCTGCAATTCTGGCAGCAGAGCTGCCATTTTTTTTCTTTAAAGTTGTAACCAGGTCCAACGTCAACAAACGATGAAAGATTGAGAATGTTGGGCCATACCCTAATCTTGTGCGGACCATAGCCGTAGGTGGCGTGCTCGATGCCAACCGTGTTGAGGGCCTCGCGGACGTAGGTGGTGGCCGTGGGGACCATGTAGGTGGCCTTGCGGATCTTTGACATCTTCGTGGACACGTACGCTGGCATCACAGACTGTAAACGGAAGGAGGCAGAACACAGAAATGCTGCATCTAGTATCGTGCAAAGTGCAATGACGTCTCACGCTGCTAGCACCTGCAGTTTCGAGGCAAGAAGTCTAAGGACTTTCAATGACATAGCACTTTAGGGGCTCCGCTTGTTTTCAATCCACCGACTCATGTCACATGGCCATGAAGTGGTCAATACAGGCATAAACCAAGGTGAAAATTGCTCATAACCAGAGCAAAATAGACTAACAAGGCCTAAAATTTTAAAAAAATCAGCATGTATAATCAAGAATCAGCTGCAATAATTTACTTAAAATTGCAAAAAAAAAAAAACGCTCCTGAAACATCCAGCAGATACCCAAACTGTGCAAAGCAGGGGTTCTACCGCTTCAGCAAGAGCGCAACTGTCAAGTGAATTCACTTGGTTGCCAGTGCTACTCGCTTTCTCGGGTTCCACGGTAGTGCAGCTTTACTAGTGGGCAGGACTTAGTACTACGCCAGGACCAACACATCACTACATTAGCGCTACACCTAACTGCAGAATCAGCACTGGAATATAGCGGAATCAGCGCGACATGCTGCTTTTCACCTGAAGTGCAGCAATGATGTGTTTGATTGCAGAACCCTTTCAGTCGCGTATGTCCGGTACAAATGTATACCATAGATTTATTTTGTCCTGCTGTCAGTGAATGGCCGTTTGTCCCTCAAGAGTGCTGATGTAATAAGAAACATGTCTGCTGACAAAGCTGGCGTCAGCTATCCTCTACTTGCCCGCGGACAACGTCCTTCATCCTTTGAAAAATGTGCCTTTCCTGACAGAGCCACAAGCTTTATAATATGCCATTGGAGCTCAACGTGGCAAATGCCCATAAATTACAAGAAAACTGTAGCTATGACTTTCTCAAATAAAAAACAGCCTCTCAGTTTCAGTTGTAACTACAATGGGTCCACCCTAGCACATGTGAGTGAATTCAAATACCTAGGCATCACCTTTACACATGACCTTAAATGGGGCAAACATGTTGATCAGATAACTTGTCAAGCTCTAAGGAAACTTGGTTACTTAAAGCGAAGATTGGAAAACTCGACCAAAGATTGTAAGTTAACTGCCTACAAGACACTAGTGAGACAGATGCTTGAGTACGCCTCTGTGGTTTGGTCGCCTCATCTTGAGCAAGATAAAAACAGGTTAGAATCTGTGCAGAATAAAGCTATACGGTTCGTTTTTAACCGTTATGATCGGGACTTCTCCCCGTCTTCACATGCTCATTTGTTGTCACTTCATTCACTGGAACATCGCCGTACACGTGAAAGTATTATCTTGTTGCACAAGATTGTACACAAAATGACCCGCGTTCACGCGCCCTTATCTTTCGCTGATATACCAGCGCGTACAACATGTAGTACAGACGCTTTGAACCTTGTACCCTTCAGGTCTCATTTGGATTGTTTCAAATTCTCTTTTTTTCCGCGTGTGGTGGAAGTTTGAAACAAGCTTGATGGTGCATTACGTAGACTGAACACTGCAGAGTTCGGGAAAAATTTTATGTGTTAGTCACATAAATTTGTGCGCACTATTGTTTGTTTCTGTGCTTTCGTTGATTTTTCTGTACCCGCTTCTGCAATGTCCCAGGCATGGGACAGCAGTACTTGTAAATAAATAAATAAATAAATAAACTGCAGTGGTCATTAACGGCAGCACACAAAATCCGGTGTTACGTAGAAAATACAAACAGGATACTGAGGTTCTGAAGAAACCAAATGTAGCCATACATCTGGTTTTTTTATTACATTTTAATTAGCTTTTTTCAGATTGCTGCTGTAGGACTACTACACGTGCCACTTCAACTGAGGCAGTGCGAAGGCTAATTCCAAATAAAGTCGAACCCCTCTGTTGTAAACGGTTTTAACGTACCGCGAGAATCTCATGCACATCAAATGACTTCGACGACGAGGATGAGGAAAAAGAGAACGCGGGGTAAAAATATAAACGCTCTTCCATATCAACGCTCGGCTTTCAGTCTTTTTCCTTCGGCGCCTTTAGATACCGAAGTGCAGTTTTTCCGCATTTATTTTAGCACCGAAAGCCAGCAAACACTAATGTGCCTACATTGAAACAGGGAAAACATGGCATCCCGCTTATAGGAGACCCCATAAGAGACAAAAACTGCTTCCCTGATGCGTGTCATACAAAGAAATTCAACTGTGCATCACTACGTAATACACCTTATCTAACCATTTTCTAAAGCCGGTTTATTTACAGATGAGGCATTGACTGTTTGCACTTTGTTTTTCTGAAGCATCTCAGTGTCTTCGAGATTCTGCAGGTACCTTTTAGACTCTTGAGATCTGGTGAGGCTCGCTCAAGTCAAAGGAAGCTGTGGCGCAAAAAATTAAGTTCTGGCGTGTTATGATATAAACAAGGCGTGACCACGAGGCATGCTGTAGTGTGCGATTCTGGAGTAGTTTTGACCAAATGACGTTATTCAATGCGCAATTCAATCAAAGTACGCAAGTGTTTTGTATTTTGCCATTTCAATTCTATTAATATGCACCTGCAATTCGCAGACTGAATTCTTGATTTCAGGATTAGCAGTGAAACAGCACAACCACAAGACCACCATGCCTTGTAAGGCACTTGTTCAATCAGCTTGGCGGCCATGTTACTGCCGATTTTTTTAGAAGACGTCCAGACGTAATTCACAACAACAAAGACAATCTGGAGGTAGCAGCCCTGTGCAACAGCCTACCTGGATAAATATGCCACGATCCTTGTACTCAGCGTGAAGTCCTTGAGACAGGTTGTCCAGGTAAGCCTGCAGGTCAAATTTCAAAATCATTACACTTTTAGCACAGAAATCAAGCACTCAGTTTTACATCTACATATAATTTACAAAATGCCCCTCACCCTCAGGCTTCTTATGCATGAACTCGAGTTCCTTTCAAACAGGCTTTTCATAGGTTCAGCACATCTTAACACAAAAAAAAAATTGCTGAAGCCGTTGTTCGGACAAGAGGGCTTAACTTTTTCAAGGCAAAGATAAAATAAGGAGAAGTCGTCTCGTTAAAATTTTGCATTAAGCAACATTGCTCGTTTAATTACTCTACTATTCAGCGTGATTGACCCATCGTTAGTAAAAAGCTTCTTACCTTAGAGGCGGCGTATGCACTGAGCAGGGGCAGCGGGTGCATTGCCGAGATGGACGACACGTTGATGATGACTCCACGGCGACGCTCATCCATTTGAGGCAGGACAATGCGCGTCATCTGAAGATTCAGACAAGACAAAATAACATGAAGGCACAATTGTATCAAGGACTGTGACCAGAGCAATCGCAACAAAAGCACATTAGAACATTGATAGCAAAACGTACCATGGTTGCAGCAATGCAGTTGGCCCTGATGATGCTCTCCATGACCTGAAAGCAGTTCACGTTGAAACGTTACCGCATATTTAAAAATTTATGTTTTCACAACCATGCCGCGACAAGCTCTTCGAAGTCAATCATAGCTCATTATTTGAAGAGATACGAAACAAAGTTATCGCTGTTAAAATTTTCAGCTTAATTAGAAGCACGGGTGTTCAAACTGACTAACCAAACCTCAATTCCAGGCAGAAACTGGTAGAGAACAGTGAATTCGATGCCCTTGGTTCAAACTGCGGAGTCTGGCGGCTGTGCCGTGGATTACAAGAGATTTAACTCCCCAAAACCAGGCCTGCCAACCATGCAAGCCACTGCCCGCGTCTCTCAGCCTACTCCACCCCCGCTACAATCCCTAAAATCGTTATGAAGGACACAGGCAGTAAACATCGCTCCCGTGTAGGCCACGTCTAAGCCCCTTTGTGGAAGGGGGAGAGTGGGGTGTAAAGGAGAGAGCTTGAAAGAGAGGAGAGAGGAAAATGCACACTTGGCTTCTACCGCTGGCATGCTTGACATCATGGCCGTTGGTGCACAGCCTCACGCACGCTGGCAAAAGCTGCCGCGCACTCGCAATCCTTCAAAAATACAGTTAACTGTTCACGAATACGTGAAATGAACATTTACTGGAACAGTGGCACCTTCCAAGAGTGATTTCGGTGATTTCATATTTTTGTTCAGTATCCCTCCAACCAGCACTTGGTCACACAGTTAGAATCCTATCATCACACAACCTGCTGTGAGGTGTCCAAATTTCTATCGCACTTTTACACATAAGCCTACGACATTAGTAGCGTTGCTGCAAAGTCTTCCAAGTAATCAACAGTGTCCTAATATTTGATATCTACAATTGTCGGTTTTAACTGTCATTTTTCATGACTGTAACAAAAACGGAAATGCTGTTTTTTCTCAGATTATGAAATTAACAATTTACCTTTATTACGTGACAAACTACCAAGTTCAGCGTGCCACTGGCCACACTTTAGCACACCCACTTTTTCCAGACTGATTTATGCAGGAATGCTATGTCATGCTACCTATGTAGCCCAATACTCTAGTCAATGAAATGAACATCACATAGTTCATTATATAACTTTTCAGGCACTGTGTCAGAGCTGCAAAGGTCGACTCAACATAGCTTCTAACAGCTATAAAAAAGCTATTCATAGAAGTAATACTGTTAAAACTATTAAAACATCATTATTTATAATATTACTAACTATACAAGGTTTTCTATGCTGCATTACATTTTTCACTCTTTTGACTCCAGCCAGTTCTAATGGTGTCTGTGCTAACAAATTTTGTCACAGGAGCATTGTTCACAGATGTGTAAGTTAAGCTGGTTAAAAAATTGCATGGGCTCATTTGAGTTCACTCATACAACACGATCAATAATTTATTTCGCTTTAACCAAAGTACAATTGTTTCGCTACACTAAAAAAACCTAACTAAATATAGTCTCAACAATTTTTTTATTCCTTGGAAGGATGTGCAACTTACCTTGTCGCCATCAGGAACTGCGCTGAAGAACTCTGGGTAAACGTAACTGATGCCAACATTGTTCACTGCAGGAAGACGGGAGAAGATAGTGTTTGGCTTTCAAACAAGATATAATACTGAAGCAGAGTTGGGAAAGAGGCATTGCTATTATGCTGTACAGAACAAAATAACCATTACGCTTCTGACCGTATTTCATAAATATAATTTATCCTGTGCTAATTCTAACTTGTGGCGGTGCTTTGTACAGATTCGTGTGCACAACTTGCTTTGGCTAATTGCATTCACTAGTGGCTAAGAAAGAGCATTTCGAACCTTCTTCACGAGAAATTAAATCTCCTGCATGATAAGTACGTGTTCTGTTAAATTCAGTTTTCAGCGTACTGTAGCATATCACTTTTCTGAAGGCACTATCATGCTCGACAAGTCATGCTCGACGACCACCCTACCGTTCATTGCTGTTCCTCGCTCCACCTTGCAAACATGGCACAAAGTACAGAACTAACACAAACGTGAAGCAACACCTACCGAGCACGCCGATCTCCAGACCCTGCAGCTCCCTCCGGATCGTACTGTAAATGTCACCACTGGATGTGAAGTCAACGGCAATAACCTTGGTCTTGACATTCGATGCCTCCTCTAGAAATGAGACAAGCTGGTAAGCCTTTAAAAAAACCGACCTTTTTGGCAAGTGAATTATCGGTGCAGTTTGTTATCAGTGTTCATCACATGATGAAGGTCTCTTGATAGCAATCTTCAACTGCGTGTGACACCGTATTACAGCTCCATTTTCTTTATGTCAAGTTCTTATCTCAATGTGCCAGAGATTTCTCTCACCTTTGATAACGTTTCCCACACTTCTTTCTACATCAGTTTTTTTTATGCTTTCTTTCTGTAACTCTATCAGATTATTAATTATCAGCCAAATACATCAAATGATTCGTTCAACTTCATACTTTTCCTAGGTCACAATGTTTTTGGCTTCATCTCAACACAGTCAAGTACTATCAAGAGCACACAGTGCATTTGTTTCCTCTAATGAAGCTTTCCACGCTGGAGTACTGAATTATTAAGGAAGGCATGTTTTACAAAAGCCAAGAATATGGCATGAAAGTCTCAGCATGAATCCTTCTGGTGTCACATGCTTAGCTAGCAAACTTTAAGACAAGACAATGAGTGCCTAATGAGTATCAACATCATTAGGTTGCAGTGTCATGTCACGTGGCTGTGCCCTGTTGTCACTCACTAACCTTACTTATACACACAGTCGGAGGCAGATAAAATTAAAATCTAGCACCTTAAACACGCACTTGACAAAAGTAACGCCACATCTGAACATTTCTTTCTCACTTTATATGAAAATCTTAATACTTCAAACCACAGGAGAAATAAAAGGGGCGCAAGCGTCACAGTGAACTAGCAAATTTCTTGATACTTGTTTCAATGAACTAAAGGTGGATTCATAACACACTTTCCATTTAAGTGTTATTAGGTGTACGAGTTCTGATGCCACAATGCAGAAGGCGGCCACAATGGACAGGATACCGCAATGGTTTTGAGTGTGAACAGACGACTACACGAATGCCCATGTATTTGTCTTCTCTTCCTGCGTCCTGTCCGTTTGCGCACGAATCACGATGAACCAACGTGCCCAACAAATAACTTTATCGAGAATACTGCAGTTCTGATGGTTGCTTTGGCTCACTCCTCTATCTACTGTGCTGTAACTCAATTAATCCCTTGCTGTAGCAGTGAAGAAAATGACCTCACAATCATAGGTGTGTGCACGATGGGGGCAGCAAAGTAAGCCCCATACGTTGACATAATATAGAAAGGAGCGCTGCGATGAACCTATGCATAAGAGTTTGTATGCTACATGGCATATGCTCCAGTTTTTCAAGCTTTCTAAAAACCCCATAAAAGACTATCCGATTCCCCAGCAACATTGAAAGAGTGACGCACCAATTTCATGAGCCACTGCTTGGAGTTTCTCTAGAGTCCTGCTGATGAGCACGATGTTGAGACCCCGTGCAGCAAGCTGAAAGAATAGAGAAATAAGATTGGTTGATAAATGGGCTGAAACACTGATGAATGGGTTGAAAAGCTTGTGAAACAGTGAAAAAAAGAAAGAAAGGAAGAAAACATACCTCCTCACAGTATGCCTTGCCAATGCCATCTGAAGCGCCCGTTACAACTGAAAAACAAATTAAAGCACCGGTGAGCACTGATAACTGTAGAGCAATCATAACAAAATAGACCAAAAGCAGTCTAATTCTGTTCCATCTTGTGGCTGCTGTGCGCCAGTTTGTTGTAACAAAATAGAGGAGCAGATTGCATTACACTAATAAGGCAGTCACACTGTTAGTGATAACTGGCCATAGTGAAATATTAAACCTTCATATATATAAGGACAGTTAATTATCTCCGAGACTGCAGAAGCTGGGTACAGGACTGGAAATGGCTCTGCCATGTGTACAATGCATAACTTGTATATTATGCCGGGCAAAGCGAAAGAAGAGATGAAGGGAGATAGTGAAGTCACACCTGTGAAAACAATTGGGGTTAGATAACAAAGCTCAGCCTATATGAAGATACGAATTATAGCCAAAGTGTCATGAAAAATTAACTGGAACGCCAGCAAGTAACCCTCTTAGGCCAATGAGACATCGAACTATCATTTCAGTGATAAACTGAGGTGCCATGCTCTTGAGTAAATGCAATTTTCGGGGCACTGCAATAAAATAAGCTGGCCTGCTTTCTCTCCCTAGCAACTGTGCCAATTCTTACCGATACCTGAATGCACAAATTTTGTAGCTAGATTATCTTTCTTTCTGTTCACAACAGTTGCCTTTTCTGTTTGACTAGTTCATCTTAAAAGGACCACCAGGAACCGGTCACTATTGCTCCAGCAGCCGCACTTCTCAAACGGGAATGTGAATATATAACAGTCTCTCACTTTCTTAATGCGAAATTTCCTGGCCCCTATAGACAGCTTCGGTGCTCTATTTGACTGCCAGTTACCTCCGCTATGCACACCGATAACCTGCCTTAACTTGTATAACCAGCTATCCAGTTCGTTGTCTGACCAACAAGGGTACGAATCAAAGCTGGTTAATGAAGCAACATCTTTAGGCATTAAATGCAAAAGGCAGAACCAACAAAAAGCATTCTGCAAGTCAGTCTTCTTTTTCTTCGATGTTGCACTTTATGGTGCTTAGTTACAGGTGTTATCTAATTAATGCTTTTGCCTTACCATGTCCTGTAAGCCAAGCAAGTGAAATCGGGGCGTCCCGCCAAATAACAGTAACCAGTGTCTAGCTTCTTTCCTTTCACTTCCTCAAAAACTGAATGCTTCTTACCTTAGCTGTCACGAGTCGTAGTGCTATGTCAGCGTGATGGGCTCGCAGTGCTCATCCCGCTCATGACAAACAGCATTGATATTGCAGTGATAAAGCAAGGCGATCACCATGAGATATGCGACGACTACTGCAGTGTCGCAAAAAGGCACCCAAATATGCCTTTCTCAGCTTTAGGTGGATCATAACTGTTACATGCTTCTATTCACTGCGCAATGCGCATTTCCTGGCTTCCCAAATTTCCGCGCATTACATACTACTGGCAGAACACACTGCTAGTAACAAGTTTTCATTTGCTCAGGCAAATTGTAAGGGGCGCAACTCGGGGTTGCGTAGCAATGAAGAAAAAAGGCGAGCCAGTTCAACAACCACAGTTCACACAGCAGCTACTTTGTCTGCTACTTAAAGAACCTTGGAGAAAGCAGGGCAAAAGCATTATGAAGGTATATTTTCTCAAGGGCCTCTCCAGCTCCGCAATTCTTTTGTCTTGGAAAAAAACGAGCTAGCGAGAAAAGCCTATTGTTCAAACATAAGAATGGCAGTGCATCTAGTACATCTAACAAAGCTCCTATGTAACTTACAGGTCTCTTTACTAATCTCCTCACCACCTTTCTGTTTATCAGCATATTGTTTTTGTAGGCAGGCACATCTAGAAATGCAAATGCTAGCTTATCCTGTATATCTGTCATGGGTGTAGTATTAAATGCACAGTTGTCAAGGTGGCACTAAACCTTGGAAAATTGCACTCCTATGATGAAGATCATAAAACTGAAGAGACGATACCTTATGTTGACCTACATAGTCAGCAGTGACGTGGATCGGAAATCGTGCGACAATTCACTTATTTATTTGATACCTCAAGTAGGACCTTATATATAAACAGTCTGACAATCACCTAAGTACGCTATTATATTATTAACTTTAGCATGCCTGACTGATTACTAATAATTTAAAGAAAAGCACCAGATTTCAAAATGTATCTAAAATCACTTTTTTAATCAGCCTTCATTAAGCGATGAGAGTTGCAAACACACGGAATGACAATGTGTTTCGATGCTTTCTCTTTTTTTTTGGGGGGGGGGGGGGGGGGGGGGGAGACAATATTTCAAAATGCATTATATTATTTTCTTTTTGGGGGCTGACTGACTTCAATTGCACAATTACAGTACAGGAACTTGATTGACACTGTTAATTAGTGAAGGTTCAATCAAAGTGAACGATGGCAATCATTCTAGAATTTATGGCATTCACTGCAAAAATAGATCTGAGACAGAAATCGTAGCACGATTGCTCCACCCACCTGTTTTCAACAACTGAAACCAGCTGTTGGTAAAGTGTCCCCTATGCTCATGAACCAAACAAAACTGTGGGTGCAATTTTTTTTTTTATGTCACACAAATATTTAGCGCACAGTCGTCATCCGTACAACTACAATTGCAAAATCTGGACATGGCAGCCACTGCATTCAGTCGCAGATGCCTAGGTTTTAATTTATCCCGGCAGGGGGGAGGAGGCCTGGGCAGGCAAAGACTCGAAAGTGTGCATTGGCAATAAGTCGTCGCCCCCCCCCCCCCTCCTAGAAAAATAATAATAAAAAAGATCCACCATACTGTATTGCAGTAGCACAGATAATTGGACTATTTCCTGTTCATGTTCTTTTCAATGTCCTGTTCTAGTGTCCGTGTCTGTGTGCGCGCCCTTGTTCAGTTAATAAAGATCCGTTATAGTTGTTACCGAAATTTAGAATCTCATATGTTGTAGAATCTTAGTGCTGCAGTTCACCACCCACATGTATAGCAGACGATACAGCTTAGGTTACGTATGCATTCTGCAGAGGGCGCGCTGTGACCCCCCCCCCCCTTTCGGCATAATTGACGGCTTCTCTACCTCCAGGTTTCCCTGCCGATTACCGAGGCAAATCCAGCGCTTCTTTCCACGGGCACCGAGATCCTGCTAGCAGAAAAATTACAGGCACACCTATTAAAACATAGTTTCTTGCATATAATCCGCACCCTATATGTACTCTACTAAAAAGAAAAAAGAAAACATAGCTCACACTCCCACTTGAAATTTTTTAAAGTAGATTTACCGGAATTTCATCGCGGGTTACATGCGAGTAAATACGGCATTCGCTTACTTTTTATCTCAAACATCTCCGCGGATCGGAAAATCGCTTACTTTCGAAATAACTTTAGGTATAAACGAAAATTTCAAACTACTATTGCCGCCTTTTCGATAGTTCGCACCGACGTCATCAAGGTTGCCATCTTTGGGCAACAAACACGTCCAACGCCCATCAAGCCGCGTGGGCAGAAAAAAGAAAAAAGCTATACGAGAGCAAAACGGGCGCGCGTGTCTTGCCCCGGTCCAACGACGAACCGATAACAGCGATTACAATCTGTTGAAAAGGTTGCCGGCGTCAGGCTCAAGGCGAAGCCCGCGCGTTCAATGACGTAATGCACGCGCCATGTTCAGGTACTAGTCCGGTGACAAGCTCGAATTCCGTGACGTCACACAAAAGCGCAAGAGGAAAGCAAAGAGAACCTCAGAAGCCACTAACACTTAAGATAGCATAAATGGTTGCGCTACTATCATTAATTAACTGAGGTCAGGGCCAGAATTCAATTCGGCATCTCTAGCAGGAAACTGCGGCACATTCAACTCTTTTGTATAGATCAACAGAGCTCGTTGATACGGTGCGTTATCGGCACGCAGAGGCGTACAAGATGGCGAGGTTGGGCGGAATAGAATTTGTAAACAAGCGTTCAGCCACTGCGCTCCAATGACGAGGAAAAAAGAAAGCAAACAGCAGCCTTCTCATACGCGATTTTTTCCTCGCCAAAGAAAACCCAGCGACGAAATTTTGTCATGACCCGCGCGACGAGATTCCATCCAGCGCTCAGCCAGGTTAAAATATTCTTCCCCGTACGTCCAAATAAAAAGAAAAGTGACAAAAAAAGGCGAGTAAACCGCGCGATCCTCCTTTTGATGACGTCACACATCACTCAGACAAAAAGAAGTGTGGTTGTTCCCTTCACTACAGTGTACCTTCACCCTTCTTTCCTTCACCTCCAAGGTTGAAACAGACCGAGGGGTGACCCCCCTTCTTCTCGAACCCCTCCTCACCTTCTCGCGTGTTCTTGCTGCTACAGACATGTTTACTTCGCCGCTTCTCTTTTCCCACAAGCCGATACGGTTTTCGCAGTTACAGCGCTTCTTCTCGGATGCTTGTGTATATTTATAGCTGCGTTTTCCACGGCAGCTCTACACGTACGCACGTAATGATTTTTTTTTTTTTTTTTTAAGACGGGAGCTGGCGTACAGCATCAGAACGCAGCGCTGAACGAAGTGCCGATGACATAGTACCCGGGGCCGGTATTTTATTGGAGTGAGAGAATGAAGCAGTTTTTACTGATAAATTATGCTCTGATCAATTACTGGCGTTTATCTCATCATCGTAGGCTCAAGAATATGAGAGAAAATCGAGGTTGAAGTTTCACTTTTAAAAGAACACTGAATGAAGAAACTCGATTTTTTTTTCCTCTTGTTAGGAAATCACTTTCACAATACAAGTATCACTGCTTACCGCGAAATGAGAAATAAAAATCGCGTGGGTGGTGAAGCCGCCTTGAAATCCCCGCACCGATCGCCGTGACGTCATAGATTTCGTCGGCGTGCACTAAAACTTCATGATCGGAACAAATGAGGTACAGTGTCTTCTGAGGGGACCAGGGAGTGATACCGCATTTCAGCAAATTTCGTTATCGTCAGTGTGGGAGAAGGCACTCAGAAATCTGTGACGTCACCTCACGAGATTTGGGCGCGAATTTTGAAATTG